TAGAAAGACCCACTTTCTCCATTAAAAACTTATGGTGAATTTAAAGTTTTAAGTTTTGGGAAAAATGGCACCCCAAAGTAATCTCAATGGGCACCCTTTCAGTTAGTCCCTAAAAGCCTGGCAGAATTTCTCTGGCCACCGAAATTTTGGGGTCAAACGCGAAAGAAAATACGCGCCTTAAATAGATCCCCAAGAAAAAAAAAATTTGTTAATTACGTGGAATTCTATCATACTATTTAGAGGCTTTTTTTTTTAAAAGCGAAGAGCTTGTCAAGGAGAGCTGGTGTGTATTCAGCTTAAATATCAATGATCAACGCCCCTGTATACTTGGTTTTTAAATAAAATCCACTTTAAAAAGTTAAAAAAATGCAACTACTGTTATAATTACATAACATGAAAAAAAAAAAAAGCTCAAATAAAAATACTTTTTAAAAAGTATGAAAAAATTTTAAAATGTGGTGATAAAATAAAATCAGAGAAGTTTTTTAATTTTAAAGTAAATTTAAATAAAAATGGGTAGTAACAAAAAAATTGTCTACCCGACTGAAAAAAATAAATTTTGGCAATATATTTCCCCTTTCTTTTATTTTTCATGACCCAAACCCACACCCAAAAAAAGGGCCGTATCTTTTGAAAAATGCGCCGAGTCCAGGGCCCAAAAAGCCCCCCCGTGTGATTTAAAGGGAAAAAAAAAAGGGAACAAAACCCCAGGAGGGGGCGTAAAAATAATAGTAAGCTTCCACCCTTTTATTATTAATACATCAAATGAAACCCCTTTTTTTGATGTCGAGTCAGAGGAGAAAAAAAGGGAAAAATGGGTATGAAATTGAAAATGTCAAATTTTTTTTTTAACCCAAAAAAATACGGCAAAATATCTACCTGAAGTGATTAATATACAAATGTGCCCTGGGGGGGCTTATTAACTATTATTAAATTTAAGATGTACAAATTTAAAAAAAATACACAAAAATAAACCAAAAAGAGTTAAAATTTTTAAAAAAATTCAAAAACATTTCAAAATCACAATTACAAACCAAGAATTTTTTGCAAAACTAACGTAAACCCAGAAAACTATGAAAAAAAAGTTTTTTAGAATCCTTTTTAGATGGTATTAGAAATTTAAGAGGAAAGATCTCTCCTAAACCTCCCAATGTCTGTTGGTCCAAAACACTACTGAACAAACCCCAGCTGCCCTGAAAAGGGGTCAAATAGTTTACCAATTTCTTGGATCTAATGTTATTGGGGAGGTTGGTAAAAAAAAAAAACTGATGTTTAAGCGAATGGAAAATGATGGGGCATGATGGCCATGTCTTTCTATCTCCCCACCAGATGCTCTCTCTCTTTTCCCGGGCTCGATCATTTTTTCAATTTCTCCTTTAAATACAGCTAGAAATCCTTAACTTTCCCTGGAGAGTGGGAAGCAAGGTACCATCCAGTCAGAATTTGGCCCGACGGGCACTTTTCACAGCTTCTCAGTTGCCTTGCCATCTTACCCTCCCATGAAACCCCAAAAGTGGGCACTTCCCGCAGCCCATTTTAGACCCGGCTCCTGGATGCTGGCTGATGGATCACGTATTGTGCCCGCCGCCCGCGTCCAACGTAGAACCCAACAAAAGGTTTTTATCCGGAAATTTTTTTTAAGGGAAACTGTCGATTTCCTTTGAAGACAGCTAGGCGGAATCACCTTCGCACACTAGCGTTCTTACTTCCTTTTGTGCCTACAAACTTTTTGGGAGCCCCTAGTGCATGGAAAAGTGAGAAAACCTTGGGGGAAAGATTTCCATTTCCCCGGTGGGTTGTCGGATTTGAAAAAGTGTGCAGGGTTTTGATCCTCTGTGGATGAGAGATCATTTTTGTTAAAGTTGCGATTTTTCGACTTTTCATTCGCGGGGTCTCCCCCGAGGTGGTGGCCCAAAAAGAAACACTTTTTCATCTTTCACACATATCACTGGGTTTTCAGAGGGGCCCGTTTTGGAAGTTTAGATATACTCCCAAAAAGCAATATCCCAAACCCCTCCTTTAAAAGTGCAGGCATTGCATTCCCACCCCAGGGTCAAGTCGGCTAACCGGGTTTCTTGAATCCCTTCACAAAAATTTTCCCTTTTCATACTCCAAAAGCTTTTTAAATCCCCAAAATTTTGTCTCCTTTTACTCCCCTTTAAAAACCCCTCACACATCCCCTGGAATTTTTTTGTGGCTTATTTATATATATTTTATATATAATAAATATATATATTTATTAATAATTTTATTATTTTATATTATATTATATAAAAATATATTCACCCAAAACCCCACGAATTTTTTCATAGGTTTTTTTTTTACGTGTCCCTTCTTTTGCTTACGACACTTGGGTTCTACCCCAAAATCAAAGGAAAATTTTGATATTCGGTGAATGAATTTATTTTTGTGACCCCAAACCAAAATTTTTTGTAATCCTTTAACAGGAATATGGGCTCAGAAGATGCAGAAATAAAGGTTTGTTTGGATTTGCAAATTGGAAACTCCAGCCGGCAGTCTCAGAGAAGAAAAACAAACAGAATGGTTTAGTATGGTGAAAATTTTTGCAGGGTTAATATGGCAACTGGTAATGACATTATCCAAAACAATTAGACGCACTCCAGTGTTCAAGTTTAAAAAGTTGATAACTCATGGGGTAGCTCCCACTAATAAATGAATTTGGGAAATAGTATTGTTTTATATTCACGGGAAGCGCTAAACCCCCCCCCCCCGGGGGCATACAGCCCTGGGAAGGGAGTCATCAGATGATTAAAGGAAGGGTCATCAGTCCAATTTTTGCATTAAAACAACGTATTGTCTTAAAAAAAACCTTTTTATATGGACGGATAAAAAATATAAAAAAAAAAAAAAAAAAAATCCTTTTGGGTGAAGTAAGGAAATGTATATATATAATAAAAATATATTATTAATATATATATAAAAATATATAATATATATTTAAATATATAAATATAAAATATTTATTAATATATATATATATATATATATATATTATATTTATTATATATATAATTTATAAAAAATAATTAACATATATATATATAATATATATATATATTATATATATAATTTTAAAATTATATATTTTTTATATATATATTATATGACTAATAAAAAAAGTTATCAAATATATTAACAAAAATCTTCTGTTACTGAAAAATAAACGTCACAATTCATGGCTGCAAAAAATTTTCCCGGCAACGAGGATTAGTGAGAAACGTTATACTAAGTTTCGCTCATCTTGAGCAAAAACGCACAAGCTAGACCAAAACTTGATAAATGTCCCCCCAAATTTTAGGGTCACCGGACTGTAAAAATTTTTTCTGGGCACCCTCTTGGATGGCCCGAATGGAGAGTAAATACCGTTGGGAAGGTGGTCACTTCTTAAAAAGTACGGTAGATATCGATCTTCAAGGAACCGCTCCACCCCAACAGTTTCCACAACGAATGTACGTGTATTGTTTACTTACAACAACGACTGCGTAGAAGAAAAGCCTTGTTTACCATCTGTCAAACAGACAGGGGTTTTCAATGGTGGTAGAAATTTTTCCCGTGGTGATCTGTATAAAAAAATGCCCCAGGCTTGCCTATGGTCAGAAATATTTGTCTCATAATACGCATCTCTTCTTTTAGCCATTTTCGTTGTTCAAAAATATTTAGATCGGTATTAGGGTTAAACCCCCAAAAATTTTAAATTTTTAATAATTAAAATAAAATTTCTTAAGAAAATGGTGCTTACATCTGTCTACGATTTTTAATCAGCCGCAAGAATAAAAAAAATTACAATTTTACAAATTTCCCGCATTTAAAATCAATAATATAAACATTTTAAGCCCTTTTTTTTTTTTATAAAAACATTTCCTCTTTTCCCTTCCCCAGAGGAATTAAAGTGAGATGAAGTGTCTAAATTTTCCCAAAAACACTTATAGAGGACAATACCGAGACAAGCCACACGGTTGTTTTTCAGCGTAATAAAGATGTCATAAACATAAATTACAAGTACGATTCATTACAAATAAAAAAAACTATTAAAATGAAGACAGTTGATTTTTTAAACACCGCCCTCTCCATCGGGTAAAACGACTTTGAAAGGTTCGAGTCCATCAGGGCCATGAAATTTTTTTGGCATTTCCCCTAGCCAATTAGAAACTCTTCCCCATCCTTTAACCTCAGGTCCCAACTCCTTCCCCAAGGGGGGAAAAAGAGATATGGGAAGCAATGCAGTTCTTGAATTGGGGGAAAGGGGCTTTCTCCCAAATGGAATGGGGTTTGGGCTCACTTTTTTTAAACCCAAAAAAAATCTTGTTACGGCAAAGTCTAGAAAATAAAAATGTTTAGAAAAGGGGCCGTCGGAACATACAGAAAGTACATCCCCAAACCTTTTGACCTCCGTTTTTTGGGGATTTTTAAAAGTAAAAACTGCAGGTGTAACTCTTCAGTAAGTTTCGAATAAAAATTTCCTAACTGTTCCTATGTATCTTCCTTCATCAAATTTCACGGTCCTTATCTTTGGGGGTTTCCTTTTTTGTATTGGGTTCAGAACAGAAGCAACTGCTTCACTCTGTGTTATAGCCAATATAGAAAACAAGTCTAAGACAAATGTTTTAACTGCTCTAAGTGTTTCTCTAATTAATGGAGCGCCATGGGTAGACAAGGTGTTAGGTTATATTCTCGTGGTTATAAATAAAAGGAGCTCCCATGAAGACAGTTCTTATATAAGTCTGTACAACAAGTGAACAGCATTATATTATACTCAGTTAAAAAAAGTGTACACTATTATGTACATAGATGATAGATTATAATTACTAACACTTACCATTATTATTCTTACCATTACTATATAAAAAAGAGCTAAACCCACATGGATCCTGCAAGACTACAGCTACCAACAGCACATGCACTATATCAAGAGTCCTATATATTCCTTCTGATGAAAGACATAGAACATCATACTCAACAAAATTTAACAGGTACTGTACCTCTTTCAGCTTGTTGCCACGCCAGCGTTGAGCACAAGAGAGCTAGAGATTTTCCAGAGCCAGTAGGGGATTCCAACAGGCAGTTCTGACATCGCTGGAGTCCTTTTATAATCTGAGGAACAAAGAATTCCAGATCACAGGTAAAGTCACAAGTAAAATATTGCTTTAACCAAAGTAAATTAGTTTCACATACAATCGTGTCACACGTGGAGAGTAATGTTAAGTTTATTATGCATTAAGAACTGCCTAAGACAAATGAACTGGTATAGGAGCCGAAATTCGCTCGATTTTGTGAGTGAAGCAGTGAAGCTTCATATGTATATATGAAGCTTGACTCGCAAGCTTGAGAGGAATGCCTGGAGTATACCTGGAAAGGGTTTCGGGAGTCAACGCCCCCGCGGCCCGGTCTGTGACCAGGTCTCGTGTATGTATACAATGTATTAAAACACCAGTTTTATAGGAAGAAAATAGCATTTCCACCTACAAAAGCTGTCACTAGTCGTAATAGGTGTTGCATTAGAATCCATTTAATACTTTAAATAAAATCCTATATCTTGCATATGGACACATTGGAATAATATCGAAAGGTAAAAGGAAGGAAAACAAACTTGTACAACTAGTCTTACGACTTTTACTTCACTTAATGTCTAGTGTTACACTTAAAAAGCACGAGTATCATTGACACTGATGTGATGTCTAAGATGACGAGGCTGCAACCCATCTTCCAAACTTGAAGCAGATTCTTCACAATAAGGTTTGATGTGCATTTCTCGTTCAAATTAGGTTGTCCTCTCTCCATAAAAAATAAATTATAACATACCACAACGGAAAATAAATATAAGATTAAAAAAAAAAAAAAGGGTCTGCAGTGCGAACAGAAAACAGGCACCCACTGATCACAGTCCGGGCGAGGCACTCAAGGTGCCTTCAACAGTCACCCAGTTTCCTCTTTTTACAACAGTGGCATGGCTAGGAGGACGGGCTGCGGTCTGTGGACTAAGGATTTAGCTTCTACCACTACTTGCCTTCTCCCTCGCCACGTGTAAACAAACAAGGAAGAAAGTAACCCTCCAAACCCCTGTAGACGAGACAATTACTCTAACTCACCTGCGCCATCATAGCCATCTGGGACGGGTAAGGCTTGACGGGAAACAGCACCTTAACACCCCCAATGGGGTAAACCTTGTGCTGATGCTGCTGGGCGTCGTCCATGACTCCACACCTTCCCCTTCCTGAAGAAAAAAAATAATTATTAAAGTACAGGAAAAAAAAAGTACATACGAAACGGGTGTGTTGTGCAAAAAAAAAATTAGGCAACGTCACATATATCATTTAAGTTACCTATCCGCTTTCCCCACGCTAACTCGTCGGAGGATCAGCCTCCATCAGGTTTTGCACTGAATGACCCACACGGGTTTAGAGAGTAAAGAACACAGTATTTTCTAGAGCTTAAACGTTAAGTACATTTCCTCATTCGCTAAAATTTGAGCGCCGAAGAGCTCAAACTAGTTAAAGGCGTTTTCATGCATAAAGTAAAATAGAAATCTCGTTACATGGCAATAAAGCGCATGTAAACTAGGCGTCAGCGCAGCCTCCTGCGCTGACGACCATTTTACCAATTATTGCGTCAAGATATCAGCATAACTAGTAAATTAATGAAGCTAATTTAAAATAAATTATCTAGTGCTCTTGTTTTGCTGTCTCTTCACTAGTCTTTGTCTAGTGTTTAGTTTCTTCACTAGTCATTTCTAGTGTTTAGTCTCTTCACTAGTCATCTCTGTCTAGTGTTTAGTCTCTTCACTAGTCATCTCTGTCTCGTGTTTAGTCTCTTCACTAGTCATCTCTGTCTAGTGTTTAGTCTCTTCACTAGTCATCTCTGTCTCGTGTTTAGTCTCTTCACTAGTCATCTCTGTCTAGTGTTTAGTCTCTTCACTAGTCATCTCTGTCTCGTGTTTAGTCTCTTCACTAGTCATCTCTGTCTCGTGTTTAGTCTCTTCACTAGTCATCTCTGTCTCGTGTTTAGTCTCTTCACTAGTCATCTCTGTCTCGTGTTTAGTCTCTTCACTAGTCATCTCTGTCTCGTGTTTAGTCTCTTCACTAGTCATCTCTGTCTCGTGTTTAGTCTCTTCACTAGTCATCTCTGTCTAGTGTTTAGTCTCTTCACTAGTCATCTCTGTCTCGTGTTTAGTCTATCAAATATCATCTCTTGTCTAGGTTAGTCTGTTCACTAGTCATCTTGTTCGTGTTTAGTCTCTTCATAGTCATCTCTGTCTCGTGGTTTAGTACATTACTGTCATCTCTGTAAGTGTTAGTCTCTTCACGTAGTGCATACTTTGCTACCCCCCATCTGCAAAATGAGTTATAAATACTGACATTTCCTCATTTTCGCTGACGTGGTGGCTCCACAAAGCTGCTTTTCACTGCCGGGGGTGACATTACTGTCTACTGCCCCATGGGTGACATTACTGTCTACTGCCCCATGGGTGAAATTACATGTCTACTGCCCCATGGGTGACATTACTGTCTACTGCCCCATGGGTGACATTACTGTCTACTGCCCCATGGGTGACATTACTGTCTACTGCCCCATGGGTGACATTACTGTCTACTGCCCCATGGGTGACATTACTGTCTACTGCCCCATGGGTGAAATTACATGTCTACTGCCCCATGGGTGACATTACTGTCTACTGCCCCATGGGTGACATTACTGTCTACTGCCCCATGGGTGACATTACTGTCTACTGCCCCATGGGTGACATTACTGTCTACTGCCCCATGGGTGACATTACTGTCTACTGCCCCATGGGTGACATATTTACTCCATGGTTACTAATGCCCCATGGGTGACATTACTGTCTACTGCCCCATGGGTGACATTACTGTCTACTGCCCCATGGGTGTTCACTGCTACGCTAATACCCCCCAACTCCCACATTAATACCTACACTTGCACCCTCACTCCTAGACCAACATTTACCCTCACTCCCACATTAACACTGACACTCACACCCTCACTCCCACATTAACACTGACACTCACACCCTCACTCCCACATTAACACTACACTCACACCTCACTCCCACATAACACACACACACCACTCCCACATTAAACACTGACACTCACACCCTCACTCCCACATTAACACACACTCACACCCTCACTCCCACATTAACACTGACACTCACACCCTCACTCCCACATTAACACTTACACTCACACCCTCACTCCCACATTAACACTTACACTCACACCCTCACTCCCACATTAACACTGACACTCACACCCTCACTCCCACATTAACACTGACACTCACACCCTCACTCCCACATTAACACTTACACTCACACCCTCACTCCCACATTAACACTGACACTCACACCCTCACTCCCACATTAACACTTACACTCACACCCTCACTCCCACATTAACACTGACACTCACACCCTCACTCCCACATTAACACTTACACTCACACCCTCACTCCCACATTAACACTTACACTCACACCCTCACTCCCACATTAACACTTACACTCACACCCTCACTCCCACATTAACACTTACACTCACACTCACACCCTCACTCCCACATTAACACTTACACTCACACCCTCACTCCCACATTAACACTTACACTCACACCCTCATCTACACAGCTGACGTAGACAGAAATGTAGACCATAGAACCGTGTCTTCGTTTGCAGAAGATAATATAATATGCATCAGAGTCATATGATGTTGCATATTACATGATGTGCAATAACATCATATATGCAACATCATGATGTTCAATGAGGACAAATTTCAGTTACTCAGTTATGGAAAACTTGAGAAAATAAAAGCTTGAACGGAGTACAAAACAAATTCTAATCACACAATAGAGAAAAACTAACATGAAGGACTCAATAGGGAAAATGTCAGGATCTCACCTTCAAGGATCACAACAGTGTCGTTTTCACAACTGCAAGGAAGGTGACAGGATGGAAAATAAGAACTTTCAAAACAAGGGATGCCAAGCCAATTATCCTTTTTCAATAACTTCTCTCTATCCCACATCAACACATCCTCACACCCCTGTTCATACATAATAAGGAACATGACATGTGTCTCAAGTATGCTGTGTTGCGGCTAGCATCACCAAGCTTGTTAATAAGGCCATCAGCCAAAAGTCTGGTCTGAGACCGGGCCGCGGGAGCGGTGATCCCTGGAATCAACTACAGGTAGGGTGTTTCATGAGCAGGCTGACTCAGTTTTGAAAAATTGGCTTAATTTTTCAATCGTCATCTCGGAGAGGAGTAGAAAAGATTGCCAACGTAAAACCCCAGTGTGGAGAGAGAGAGAGAGAGAGAGAGAGAGAGAGAGAGAGAGAGAGAGAGAGAGAGAGAGAGAGAGAGAGAGAGAGAGAGAGAGAGAGAGAGAGAAGGAATAAGAGGTAGATATGAAGAGGCGTTTATAAGTGAAAATGAGAAATTGACAGGTGGCCCGGTGGCCTGGTGGCTAAATCTCCCGCTTCACACACGGAGGGCCCGGGTTCGATTCCCGGCGGGTGGAAACATTTCGACACGTTTCCTTACACCTGTTGTCCTGTTCACCTAGCAGCAAATAGGTACCTGGGTGTTAGTCGACTGGTGTGGGTCGCATCCTGGGGGACAAGATTAAGGACCCCAATGGAAATAAGTTAGACAGTCCTCGATGACGCACTGACTTTCTTGGGTTATCCTGGGTGGCTAACCCTCCGGGGTTAAAAATCCGAACGAAATCTTATCTTATCTGACACGGGAGATAAAAAAAAAGAAGAAATGAAAGCGTCACTCAGTTTACCGTAGACTTACTGAGCATTGCTACGCCCGTCGATCACGTCATCTACTCAACAAACACCAACACATTTTTTTAACCATTTAAATGTTTACAAAAATAACAAAAATAATAAAAAACACAAAGATGCAAAATAAAAAAATTATTCTTTTTTTTAATACGATAAAATGTTTATACACGAATTAAAAAAAAAATACGATAAGTCTCATCACAAATAGTTTTGATACTGCTATTGAAGGTCGATATAATGTTACTGTAATTCGACTTTCCAAAACAGACAAGAAAAAAGTCAATCCTGGGCTGGCTACACTGATATTAGCCTTTTCCATCCTATGGAGAGAGAGCATGGACACGGGGGTCGTCCCACAGTTACTAAAAACAACAGACATAGCCCCACTCCACAAAGGGGGCAGTAAAGCAACAGCAAAGAACTACAGACCAATAGCACTAACATCCCATATCATAAAAATCTTTGAAAGGGTCCTAAGAAGCAAGATCACCACCCATCTAGAAACCCATCAGTTACACAACCCAGGGCAACATGGGTTTAGAACAGGTCGCTCCTGTCTGTCTCAACTATTGGATCACTACGACAAGGTCCTAGATGCACTAGAAGATAAAAAGAATGCAGATGTAATATATACAGACTTTGCAAAAGCCTTCGACAAGTGTGACCATGGCGTAATAGCGCACAAAATGCGTGCTAAAGGGATAACAGGAAAAGTCGGTCGATGGATCTATAATTTCCTCACTAACAGAACACAGAGAGTAGTCGTCAACAGAGTAAAGTCCGAGGCAGCTACGGTGAAAAGCTCTGTTCCACAAGGCACAGTACTCGCTCCCATCTTGTTCCTCATCCTCATATCCGACATAGACAAGGATGTCAGCCACAGCACCGTGTCTTCCTTTGCAGATGACACCCGAATCTGCATGACAGTGTCTTCCATTGCAGACACTGCAAGGCTCCAGGCGGACATCAACCGAATCTTTCAGTGGGCTGCAGAAAACAATATGAAGTTCAACGATGAGAAATTTCAATTACTCAGATATGGTAAACACGAGGAAATTAAATCTTCATCAGAGTACAAAACAAATTCTGGCCACAAAATAGAGCGAAACACCAACGTCAAAGACCTGGGAGTGATCATGTCGGAGGATCTCACCTTCAAGGACCATAACATTGTATCAATCGCATCTGCTAGAAAAATGACAGGATGGATAATGAGAACCTTCAAAACTAGGGAGGCCAAGCCCATGATGACACTCTTCAGGTCACTTGTTCTATCTAGGCTGGAATATTGCTGCACACTAACAGCACCTTTCAAGGCAGGTGAAATTGCTGACCTAGAAAATGTACAGAGAACCTTCACGGCGCGCATAACGGAGATAAAAACACCTCAATTACTGGGAGC